GTGATATTTCAAACTAAACGTCACTACTGTAAATGATATGCACCACAGTTATGAGATAATAGCTGTTATCATAACCATATTTTATATTCTATCACAAATAACAGAGATATTTTAGTAAGTATATAATTTTGTTAATTTTATTTTGCTCTGCAGGGAGTTGCCAAGGCCTTTTCCACTGCTTTCAATCATGTGGACATCAGACGTAAAACCCTGAGAATAGCGGAGAGTGCGTTGTCATGGATACACAGAAGAAGTCCAAGTGTGTTTGAAATTAACGTCTACATGGTGGAGCCAGATGAAAAGGTTGGTGGCAAACACAATAGCATCTGAACATAGAAATTAATTAAAATGTTAACAACAGAGTGAACTCGTACACATGATTTCCTTATACAGAAGTTAGTTCATCACTGCTACAATTTTTCAGCTCTGTTGGTACAAACAAGTATACAAACTATGATTTATAATACTTGTCATATTGTTATATGACCGATCATTATTCAATTAGTATTTCATCTGCATAGTATGTCACATCATATTTCATATATACTGTAGGAATCATCTACCACAGTTGACCGCTACACACAGAGCAACTCTAATGCTTTCTGTACTGCATGTATACTTACTATGCTATTTCAGCTCTTGCAAGCTCTTCCTCTGAAAGACAAGTTTAAGATATTTCCCATTAAAACTGCTCTCAAGGTTTGGAATATACTAAGCACAATAATTTGATGATCAGATGCTGTAAAACACATTGGTAATGGGATCTTTGCACACTCTGTTCCAGATTGCAGTGTTTTCACCTCACCTTTCTCTCGTGTTGGTTTTTTTTTTGTAATGTACATGTATTTTCCTGGTTTATAAACTGGACTAAAGAATTGGAGTGTACAATAGTACTTCTTAAGACTCCAGTTTTGGTAATAACACTGGCCCATTACTAGTATTTTCTTAAAAGTATTCTTCCTCAAAAGGAATTAAAATGGTTACACTAACTGCTAAAACACATAATTTTTATATAAACCATAAAAAGTTTACAAAAATTACTATCTAAAGCACGACAATAGTTAACATATTAAAGGAGAAAAGTATTTATGTTAATTTGCCAGAAGATCTTGCTGTCTAAGGTTCGTGTTATTTTTGATAAATTGGGCAACTGGTATTTGTACATTCAGGTTTGTATCACCATTAATTTTAAAAAATGTTTGTAGTCACTCATTTTCGTGAAGTTTATAATGTGCTTAGTAGACTCTTCAAATAGTGCTTTTCGCGATTTTTCGTAAAAGGGGCATTCAATCATGAAATGATACTCATCTTCTACTTTGTTATTTAAACACAATTCGCCGATTCTTTTTCCTATTTCGGTTTTTGGTTTGGTGTACCTCCCTGTTTCAATTTTCAGTTTATGATTGCTCAGACGGAACCTACTTAGACATTCACGTAGTTCGGTATTCTTTATTTTGATCACATAATTTTCACATAAATTCACATAAGTAAATTC